ATTAGTTATATAACAGTAACATAACTTGCTGCGGTGTTATATTAATGTAATGTAACTGTAACGTTAATATAATGTAATTAATTACCGTTTTGTTATATAACTGCTATATTACTATAACATTAAGATACTTTACCTTTTGCACATACAAATCCCAAAAAAGATCCTTGATTTAATTCTAAGCGAATAAACTAAACGAAAATTGTAAAAATACATGTTTCGTTTATTTTTGCTTAGAATTAATTCAAACACCTTTCTTGAGATTATATAGTATGTGCAAAAGTAATATTTCCTGTTGGAGGCTGTGTTTTGGGGTGAATATAAGGATCGATAAAGATATATATACACACATTTTATGTAAATATAAAGTATATATGATATATATTGCAAATATATATATATACATATACATATTTTTCTATATTGCACAACGTTCATTTTGCATTACATAGAACAAAGTGTTAAATATAAAAATTACAGAAAGACAAATAAAAACTGTATCGCACTTTATTGTTATGTATAGTTTAAACAAAAACATAATAATATGCTTTATCTTTAAAATAGCCAAATTAATACAAATTTAGCAAATTTTTTTTAATAACATCTTACAATAAAAGTTTTATAATAAAACTATATGCTTTAAATAGAAAAAAATGCCAGAATTCTATACATACACAAAATAATGAATCAATAAATCACTATATATTTATAGGGATAGGTACTTTATGCTTTGAGCATAATAGCAAATGTGTCAAAAATTGTTTTTAAGCATAAATTTTACTAGTTATATGCATAGTACACACTTATTAATATTGACAGATTTCAATCGCATAATAAACACTTCCGCGCAGCATAATGCGATTTTCGCGTAATTATCGCACAATAAGGCAGTTTTTGTATTTAAAACACTCGGATTTGTGAGAAAACGACGAATTTTTCAAAATTGAACTCTATATATTTTTTTTTAGGCTGTTATGTTATATATTACGCGAAAGATTGAAATAATATCAATAATGCGCATATATTATAATAGCTAACGGATTTAACACGCATAATTGGCGCATAATTGCTAGATTTTTCGCGCATAATGAAAGCATTTTCAGACACTTTTTCCTGGCATAATTCATATAGGTATTCAAAAGCATAAAGTACCTATCCCTATATATCTAATAAAATTTCACAAACATATATCAATCTTAATGAATAAGTCTATATAAAATTAATATTTTTATAAATCATTTTTTTTAATATCAGAAATCATATATTTTTATCACATCAGGAAACGTATAAACATATATATATATATATTCAATAACTTTATTATACGTTTACCTTTCTTATAACTTAAACTTAACTTTTTTCTGATTATTTTTTTGTTATACGAACACAAATACTTTTAATGGACATCAGGAGATGTATTATATAATAATGTTTCCTGGAGGACAGGCTAATGCGGACTTTGTCCTCAAAAGGGGACAATCCCAGCACCCATTCGTCTATATATACATATATATATATATATATCATACAGAAAACATTTATCTATTTATCGCCATGGTGTCCCCTTTTCTAGAGAGAAATCTATAAACCTTATTAAGACTTCTGGCTATTCACCGACCATGTTGGAATTGTGACGTTAGAGGCGAACAACGCATACGCTAAAATTCTCAAGTCATTTTGAAATAAAGATATTTTAATAAAACAGCACTTCGCATGGCTTTTGCGCACTCTCAAAATACTTTGAAAACTATCCTTTTCCCTTTATAATTAATCAAAAACTGTAAAATGACTAATATGAGGCCCAGTCCGTCTGATCTTTACACATGCACAGTCATTCCACATGACAAAGTTTAATATCACAATTATTTTACGATTGTTGATTGACTGTCAAGGGAAAAGAATAGTTTCGAGGTATTTTAAAAATGTGTGCTAAAACCATCCGAAGTAGTGTTTTTTTGAAGTATCTTTTCATTTAAAAATGGCATCTAAATAAAACTTTCAGTGTGTTTTCTCGTCTCTGTCATAATCTAACATATGGCTGTAACGAGGATCCAGGATCTTCAAAGATATATAGCGATACTATATTTTTTATATATTAAGAAAAAAATGTTTTTTTAAAAAAGATAAAGATATATATATATCTATATATGTATTAGATGTTACTCATCAACGTTATGTTGTACATCATTTTCTTCATTGTCTTGTTCCTTAGTCTTGTCTTCTCTTTCTTTTCTTTGTTTCGCAAAACGTAGCCATTCTGCGACTATACCATCAAAATCGGATTCTGTTAGACTTGCGTGACGTAAAGTTAAATCTCCTTAAAAAAGAAAATGCATTAAATTAATAAAACTATCAATAAATTTTAAGTTTAGCACAGCTTATATATATATATATATCACATACTTCTAACAATTTTTATTATATTTAAGTCACCAACTCGGAAATTGTTTCGAATTCCTTTCATGGAACAATTCATAGCACACTCATTCGTGAAAATTTTTTTCAAAATTCGTTGTATATTATCTCTAGGTTGTTTCCTCCTATTTTCAACAAATACTCTCTCTGTAAAAATAACGTACATTTTGTACACATAAATTTGCTTTTAAATAAAATGCGATTGCTATAAAATAGGTAATATACAAAGAATTCTTACAAATTGAGTAACTGCCTCTTCTGTAGTTTTCAATAATGATTCAAATTGCTTTATACGTTCTACTGTGCTACAAGGTAAAAATTTCGTGATAATATTATCATTTACATCAAAATTTGATACACATTTTGTAAGAATAGCTTTTTCTATTCTTTTTAAACGTTGGTTTATATCTTGTAACGTGATGTTTACTGTTGCTTGCATGTGTACCATTTGTTGTAAATTCTCTGCAATAAGACACATATGCATGTATATAAAAGTGAATGAAATATCTAACCAGAGATTAAGCAATCCGAAAATTCAGAATTTATTCTGAATTGTGTATAAATAGAGTAGTTCATCTGTAACACAAAACTACAATATTTTTTATTTGTCCGGATTTGAGGGAGTGAAATCACTCCTTGAAGAAAATTTTTACAAAAGTTGCATCTCTTTAATTTTTACAAAATTATGTATAAATAAGTATTGAAAAATTTAAATAAATTTAATAAATTTTGAGGGTTTTCTGAATTTTCGTCCCTTGTAAGTGAGTAAAATACTCTGTAAATGAAAAAGAAATAAAAAATTACTTACGTTTTATATTCACATTCTCTTTTATATCCTCTATACACGGTACATATCCTAAAATATTGCAAATAATGTATTTTATTAATATCTCATATACATATATAACATATGTGCACACACACACACACACACACACACACACACACACACACACACGTACCATCAAATATTATGGGTATGTTTTCCACTTCTTCGGCTTCCTTTTCTTTTTGTTTAGACAATGAAACACTTTCCATTCCTAAATATTTGTTACAATAATTATTATAACAACTATTATATTTAGATAATAAAAAATAATATGCGAGTTACCTTTCTTTGACAAAGTCTCATTAAAACGGCTTCCACAACTTTTTTGTGAGACATTATGTGTATTAAATGTAGAGAGTACATTATTATTTAAACCAAAGTTGTCAGGACACGATGGTAGAGTAGATGCAATAGCACTCGAACAGTTTTTTTCTGTAAGTCTTTTTCCTAAAAATATATATTTAAAAGTCACTATTAATACTATTAATACTTAATAAAATGAGTACCATAAAAAAATAGTAATAATACAATTTAAAGATCTTTCTTTTTATATGCGATTACATATGAAACAATCTCTAAAAGTATGTGGCAATAAGTTTTACATACTTTGACAAGATGTACCTTTAATGTTTAATTCTCGAGATTGTGTTTCTTCGTATTCTTCTTCGTCACTATTATTGCTACGATTGCATGAATAACGTTGTTTTTTATTAAATTTTCGAGATTGTGTTTCTTCGTGTTCTTCATCACTACTGTCGTATCGATTATATGGGCGCAATTGTCTTTTTCCTCGTCCTAATCGTTCGTCATCAGTTGTGTGATAATATGCATCTGATGCACTTTTTCGAGCTGATTCTAATGACGCTGTAAAAAAGAAAGGAAAAATAATGTCAATTTTTCGTATAAGTCGCATCGTGATTGAAAAAAATTTTTTATTCTCAAATTTAATATTAGAATTAAATGTATTTCTTAAATTTCAATTTAGAATTAAATGTTTTAAATGTTAAAAATATTATATATTAACTTCAAAATTTAATTTCATTACATAAACAAAGCTGTAAATAATAAAATATATTTTTTAGCTATTAATCTTTATTTGAATAAATTTACAAATAAATTATAGAAACATTTTTCTGCGCTGATACGCGCATTTATTTTGACAATTATTGTAAAATATACGATTATATTAAGTTTTATTTATTGTTTTATTATATAAATAATTTTAAATTTAAGAAAAAATATTTATATGGTTCAAAAATAGAGACTATATAGAGAATGTATAAGTACTTACAACAATATTTTATTATTTCTATCTCATGTCTGCTCCATATGTCGGTATTTGGACTTGCACAATTTGTAATTAAAATTGCGCTATTTGCTGTTCGTGGCGGCCACCAACATTGATCTGTCTCACCTTCTTTACAAAGCCAGGCAGTAGGAATTTCAGAAAATGTGCCATCCGACAGAAATTTAACTACTGCATAATGTTTTTTATCTTGTTTGGTATAAGCATCCATTATCTGTTGGTAAATACATATGTATATATATAAACAGTTAATGTTGATCAACATTTCATACAAAGATATATCATATCTGTGATATTATAGATATATTATAATATATTCATGCGAAAATATTAATTGCCTAAATTTTAAAAAATTGTACTTACACATTAATGATATCCATAAATAAAAATTCCACAAAAATTACAACGCATATACAATATTTATCTTAAAGACGAAAGATAAAGTAAAATATTTATATTAAAATATTCATAACGTATTAGTTAAAATTAATTTATAAAGTTATGCAAAAGTAAAGAATGTAGAATATATCAAATCTACTCAAAATGCATTTTAATTATTACTATGTAAAAGTGATATTGTAACAAACGAATTACTTTCATCAAAAAATTTCAATTTTACGCACTTTCTTTGTATTTGTGTCGCTGGAATTTTAATAATATTAAAACAAGTAATATTTGGTATCACGAATATACCAAGTTTTTCCGAAGGACATGGTTTAGTAAATAGAGATTTAAGATTCAAAAATTGTTGCGCACGAATAAATACAATCCCACAGTCTTCAAAAATTTCCAAAACAAAAATCACAGACATATCATGCAGTAAAGCACAATTATCAGTTTTGTTAATAGCAATTTTAAAAGTTTTGAATTGTAGATGAGAAATATTGTTTTTTGGTGTGTAAATAACAATAGGATATTTTTTTTTGTGACACGGTTGAATTGGAAGCTGTAATTCTTCAGATGTACGATTTATTAATTCCTCTAAAGGTTTTCCTGATCGCAATTTTTTCTTAATTTTTTGCATATTATTCTCATATTTGAAACAACTAAAGTTGTCTAAAGAACCAAACATGTTTACATCATTGGCTAGATGAATAAGATTATGCACATTATATGAGAGATATTGGTCACCATAAATATTCCCGTAATTCGATACAAAGTGCAATAATAATGAATTTGCATAGTCATTAAATGTCACGCACAATTGTGGATCAATCAATATTCTAATTGCAACACTAAGACATAAAAAGTGATTATAATAAATTGAAGATATCGTGGACTTCATGACTACAATTCCAGTGTACAATAAAAACTGACGTAATTCAGTGGCTTTCCATCTATCAATGTCTCGTAAATCTCTAGGTTTTCTCGCAAATTCCACTGGAATATATGGCTGAATCACCATTAAATGCTGTGAAATTAAATTTACACACTCTTTCGATAATCTGAAATGTTTATTTCCTCTTTGCCAAATTTGTAACAATCGTTTTGTAACACCTAAACAAACAAGATGCATATAATCCAGTGGAATTTGCGATATCATTCCAATATGAAGTTTTTCTAATATGGAATCACCTGTATGATGTTCAGGTTGGGCACGATTTTTAAATGCATCATCAGTACGCAACGTATTATGAGTTTGTGGAAAGACCACTCTATTATGAACAAAATCACCTTCTTGTATACATTTAGGACAAGAGAAATATCCTGTATGGCCTTTGGTGCGTGTAATAAATGCTCTAGCTGGGGCATCGCATAGTATTGCACCAATAGCAACAGTATATTTATTGTTCAAAACAGTTATTCCATTTTGTGAGAGAGAAATAAAGTCATTGATAAAATCGGTTAAAAATTCGTTTGCATCATTGGGCTTGCACATGCCATGGTACACACCGATTATGAATGGTGATGTGTAAATATCTATTCCTTCTATTGATCCCATAATAGGCCAAAATTGGCTTCCAGAACTTTTACAAAGTGGTAAACCATCTGTATTTATATTTAATGTAATTTCATTTGTTTTTATAAATGTAGAATACATCTGTATTGATCGCTCAAGAGAAGACAAAATACCAAAATGAAAGTAACGACCGTTGCCCATAGATTTAATATGCATAAATGTATTTCGTGGCGTTCTAAGTAGACATCTGACATCATAAGGTAATTCCACATGACCATGTGTTATAAGAATACGAAGTAATTCGTTTGCACAGCTATGTGGAATATTACAATTAATAATTAACATTTGTAAATCCTTCCATAAATTATTCTCATTATTACAATAGGAGATATTTGTTGTAGGTGTATTATCCTTTAATTCAATGTTACATTCTTTTTTGTTATTCGTATCATGTTCTATCTCAAATTCATGAAATTCATTAGAATCGTTAGATAATATATTATCTCTACAAGATATATTATTGTTACATTCTTCACGAGTTAATGTTGCTTCTTTAATATTATTACATGCTTTGTTTGATTCGACTAATTGTAATAAATTTAAATTTTTATGTAAATTATATTGACAATTGATTAATTGATTCTTTCGTCTTTTAGATAAAAATCTTATGTCCTTCGGCATGTTGAATTAATAATATTTCGTATTAATATAAGTACTAAAATATGCGTGTCGATGTGTTTAAAATAGCGAGCTTATATTTGTTGTCGTACAAATTGAAAGAGACCTTTCTGAAAATGTTATTCATTCATTCATTTATTAGCATTAATTAAAAAATGACAATATAATATATATTAACATGAAAATTTAATGACTTTAATTCTTTTTGAGAAATATATCAAGCTGTCTAGTTAAATGTTAATTAATAAATATCTTCTAACAATTCCTCGCCCAGCAAACACGGTATATATATAAAATGTTATGTATATATGTAAGTAATGAAGCATATGTTACATGTAACGTATATGTTAGTTGTAATTTCCCACTCATAAATGTAACATTTTTAATATAACATATATTATACATTGTAGGTATATTGTCATTATATCCCAGATAGCACTGACTTATCGATACATGAATGTGCTATTTGGTATATAATTACAATATAACTACAATGTAATATATATGTTATATTAAAAATGTTACATTTATGAATGGGAAATTACAACTATAACATATACGTTACATGTAACATGCTTGATTACTTACATATTTGCTGGGTCCATATATAAAAAATAAAATAATATAATACATTTTCACAGAAAAGGATAACAAATAGATAAATATTGATGTAAATATTACCTGCTTAAATTACTATCAAAGTAATATATATATATATATATATATATATACCTTCATTGACGACTTAATAATTTTTCCACTGTTCCATATATATATATACTGCAAAGCACGTATACGCATACGTACGACAAATATTTGTTTGGCTGGCGGAAAGGCGAGACAATTTTTGGATCCAATATGTATTTCGTGTACAACCTGTGACGGATTAAAAAATATGTAAATTAAAGTTATGATAATATTTTTATAATATAGCATATATATATGTATATATATATATATATATATATATGTGTATGTTGTACAATTTGTTAATATATATAAGTATCTTTTGATGATTTATAATTAATTATTATACAATTTATATATATACCTAATAATTTGCGAGGTTATCATCTTTATCGTTATGAAAATATATATATATAGCGAGCGAATATTAAAGGAATGCCAAAAGATTTAAAACTCAAATACTTTTATATGCATATTTTCACAATCAACAATAACCTCGAATTTGTAGGCAGAATAGCTTTATGATAATAAATTATGAAAAATGTTAACTTAATATTGTATATATATTTAGATGAAATATTTTTTTCTGATTTAATGCAATGTTTAACACATATATATTTAATTAAGAAAAAAGGATTACCTCGGATAAGAAAAATCACTTCATGTCGCCATATCACTCAGATTACCCATGTCGCACAGATCGGAAACGGAATTATATGTATGTATATAGCAATAATGGCGTTGCTATACTGTTAAAATAAATCCCGCGTAATTCAAAATACGTAATGTCAATATAATAGTTATGTAGACGTTATATTACATATTTTATAATATCTATGTAAATGTCATATAACATATTATATAACATCTATATAACTTCGATATAACATCTGTTATATAATGTATTATATTTATGTTATGTTGCTGTTACTTTATTGTAACGAGTAAATAACAAAAAAATGTTACAATTATATTACATAGTTATATTGTAGATATATAATGAGATACATAGCCTCAATGTAACTAAGATATAACATCTGTTATATCACAGGTTACTTTTATGTTATATTGCAGTTATATTTTGTGTTTGCTGGGAAATGATCATATATGTAATCCTTAACAACTTCTTTAAAGCATACTATTCCAATATATAACATAATTTGACGCCATTGAGTGGCTTTAAATTGATCATAGTCGTTAAGTGATTCAACGCGGCGTGCAAATTCTCGTGGACAGTGTTTTGAGAGAATCTTTAATCGATTTGAAATAATTTTAATTTGGATTCCCGATAATTTGACGTTTTTTGTACAATCCCCACGTATCCATGTCACGATTAATTTTTTCATAACTCCTAGGCAACACATATGCATATATTCAAATACAACATCTTTATCAAAAGGTAAATGAGATAATGGACTTGAACATTTATGATGTTCCTCATCAATTTGTTGTCTATACTCTTCATGTATACGTTGCCTATGCTTAATTCCTCTCAATACCGTACATCTTCCAATACTAAATCCGTTAATTGTACATTTTGAGCATGGATTAAAAGAACGGTGACTCTTATGTCCTAAAATAAATGCTCTAGCTGGTGCATCTCCGATAAAACATCGCAGTTTTATTGAGAACTTTTTATCTTTAAAAATGATACCACCTTCATTAAAAATTTCATGAAAATCTGAGTTACAATATTGGAAAAACTCTTCTGCACTCTTAGGTTTTTGTGAACCTTTATACACTCCTATAGTTTTTGGAATAGATTTTGGAATATTAACAATTCTGCATTGAATTGGCCAAATATCATGTTTTCCATTTCTATATAATTGTGCTCCATCCGTACTAATGTCAATTTCAAGAACTTCGGGAATTGATAAAAAATGTGTTTCTTCAAGAATTTGGGCTAAACATTTTTTTAGCCCAATATGTAAATATTCTCCTGGCTCAACTTTATATAAAATTGAGGAGTGCCGTGGCGTCAAAAGTAATGATCTAATATCTGCAGGTAAAAATGTAAAGCAATCATGAGTTCTTAGAAGTTTTAAAATACGATTGCCGAGAACATGATTTGCGTCAACTAGAACAGCTGCTAAATTCTTCTGAAATATTACCGTATTACAAGTATTTCTAACTTTAACCCCGTCTATATTGTCTGTATATAAATGAGAAGATTGTTCCTTTGTAGAAAGTTGCACAATTGAATTAAAATGAGTGTCTTGTACAAGATGATTTACGTTGCAGTCATTAAAATGTTGAACTTTATTTTTAGCATAGATATTTTCAGAACAATCATTCTCTATCAAAAGTGATTTTGTTTTTTTTATTATTTGTTTTCGACGAGCTAATCTTAATCTTTGTTGCCTTCTCGATACCATATGAAGAGGCTTATAGTAACGCGACTGGCCAGCTTCCAATTGAAAATTTTTCATTTTTATATTAAATCCAGATCTATTATACAAAACAGATATAAAATGACTTATTACATGTAATTATTACAATCTAGCCTTATTCAGCAAATATTTTAAAATTGTTTCTAAATTAATTATTTTAAATAATTGTTTTAAATTTTTATGCATTAAATTATACTGATTATACTGAATTAAAGCACATAAAGTAAAACATACATTATTATCATATTTCTTTGTTATAAAAATTTTAGAAGTGTTAGTAAAATTCATAAAATATATATAACAAAGGAATATAATAACGATATATGCTTTTGTTTTACCTTTCAAGTATATAGAATCTAAAAACTCACCTTTAAAAAAAGGTAAAAAAAGGCGACCAGTTAAGGACACGCCATTAACAAAAATTATTTATTGCAAACCCATGTAGAATCCTATCCTATTGCAAACTCATGTAGAATCCTATGAAAACTTAATCATTGCAAACCCATGTAGAATCCTAGGCAAATTAACCATTGCAAACCCATGTAGAATCGTACCCATTGCAAACCTATGTGGAATCCTATGAAATTAACCATTGCAAACCCATGTAGAATCGCCCATGTACCCAAACCTATTGTGGAATCCTATGAAAAACTTAATAAGAACAACGTAGTTAAACTCGCGCTGCTAAATAAACTGAAATAATATTCTAATGATATAAAAATTAAATTGTTATTTTTAAACTCATTGCAGTTAAAATATGTTTTGTGTTTAAATTAATTAATGTTACTTTAAGGTGCATTGTAATTTTGAAACTTAGCAGCGCGCCCAGTTTTTTAACTACAATTTTTTTATTTCTTTTTATTTTATATTAATGGACTTGGCATCTTGTTTATCTTTTTTTTTAAAAGATAAGTTTTTTTATAGTACGATTCTACATTTGCAAATTTAAATTTTTACTGATTCATTATACGACTATATATATGTCTGCAACTTTAATTTTCCACTGGTACAAGTTTCTACTTTCACTTGTCGCAATTTTTTTTTATTTCATTACTTTTGTTACGATTGTACATGGGTTTATAATCGATAATTTTTCATACAATTCTATTGTACATGGGTTTGCAATGTAGGATTCTACATAAGTTTGCAATGGATAATTTTTAATACAATTCTACATGGGTTTGCAATGGTTAATTTTTCATAGGATTCTACATGGGTTTGCAATGGTTAATTTTTCATAGGATTCCACATAGGTTTGCAATGGGTACGATTCTACATGGGTTTGCAATGGTTAATTTTGCCTAGGATTCTACATGGGTTTGCAATGATTAAGTTTTCATAGGATTCTACATGAGTTTGCAATAGGATAGGATTCTACATGGGTTTGCAATAAATAATTTTTGTTAATGGCGTGTCCTTAACTGGTCGCCTTTTTTTACCTTTTTTTAAAGGTGAGTTTTTAGAGATTATATCATTCATTTTTGTATATGATATAATAACATTACCGCAATGCCATGACTCTGTGTATGTTTTACTGTTTAGACGTTTTGATGCTTTAATCAAAGATACTTGATTCTATATATATGTTTATACATAATTTAAGAAATATTTTCAATATCTTAAATCATTTCTTTCCTTATTTGCAAACATGTTTCAAATAATATTTGATATCATAGCTTTAAAAGATATGTATTAGAACACGTATTATCATATTAGCACAAATGCGTAATATCATATACGATAAATAAAAATATATTTTATTACTGCATATATTACTTTAATGCAGTTTACTTTATAAAGTATCTCGTTCGAGTACTCGTTATTTGGGATCATATTATTGCTTTATATGATAATATAATTGTGTAAATGATATTTTATTGTACCGTATGATCATATAATTTTAATTGATCAAGTAAAATATAAAAATATTTTCTTATTAAATATATATGTACTAGCTTTTCGGACCGCGCTTTGCGCGGTCCTCATATAGTCTATATTAAATCCGTTTTAACACAAAACAAAAAATTAATTCTTTTTTTGTATTACCGCGAACTACTTCCACATTTGTGTTCGACTTTCACGAAATTTATACCAAAATAAATGTTTAAATTTTTTGTGGATGACTACTATGTTATCTATTTCTTTCTCCCAGATATTTTATTTTCTTTTTTTAAGACACGCTTTCTCTCTCTCTCACTCTAAAACACACGCGCTCCCTCTCTCTCTCTTTAAGACACATGCTCTCTCTCTCCTTATCTCTCTCCCTCCCTCTCTTCTTTAAGACACACTCTCTCTCTCTCTCTCTCTCTCTCTCTCTCTCTCTTGTGTATGTGTGTGGGGTTTTTTAAGTTTACGCTTTCACCTACGCATCCACCCACACAATCGCATATTTATGAACGGATTTTTTAAAAAATTGGTACCAAAATGTTGCAAATTTTTGGCGACGATGTGGTTTTTTCAAGTGTTACACCTCCACCCACACGCATGCGCATTTATGGACCAATTTTCACGAAATTAGTACCAAAATGTTGCAAATTTTTCTGAGAAAGCTGCTGTGTGGTTTTTTTAAGTTTTATCCCACCCACGCATGCATCCACGCATTCACACATTTATTCACATACTTTTTTGAAATTTGTAGTTAAATTTTGTTGGAGATGGCTACTATGATTTTAACAAATTTTTATCATCCTATTCATCCACCCACGCACCCATGCACCCATTTGCATACGCATTTATTGACTTGGTCACACCAAGAAGTAATTTTTAAAAAATTTGTGTACGTATTTGTGATTATGTGTGCAATTCGTGTAAATAAACCTTTAATTTGTATGCAATTTTCACGAAATTAGTACCAAAATGTTGCAAATTTTTGCAATCATAAACATGTACACAAATTTATTTAAAATTACTTATTGGTGTGACCAAGTCAATAAATGCGTATGCACATGGGTGCATGGGTGCGTGGGTGGATGAATAGGATGATAAAAATTTGTTAAAATCATAGTAGCCATCCCCAACAAAATTTGAGTACAAATTTCAAAAAAGTCTGTGAATAAATGTGTGAATGCGTGGGTGAATGCGTGGGTGGGATAAAACTTTAAAAAACCACACAGCAGCTTTCTCAAAAAAATTTGCAACATTTTTGTACCAATTTCGTAAAAATATTGGTCCATAAATGCGCACGCGCGTGGATGAATGCGTGGGTGGAGGTGTAACAATTGAAAAAACCACATCGTCGCCATCTTCAAAAAATTTGCAACATTTTGGTACCAATTTTAAAAAATCGGTTTATAAATAT